TATCTTCCTCCCCTGATCCCCAGGTCTCTATAAAGACAGGAACCTTTTGTTTGGGGCTCCCTTAGCACTGAGAAGATTTTGCCCCATCTACATACTCGCCTGTGCTGTTGCTAAGGGGAAAATAAAACACTGGGAAGGTGGTGCTTTTTCCTGTTTAGCCTCTTGCTTAAAATATCTCAATAAATACCTTGTTTCTTTCATTTTGGCTTGTTGTGCCAGCTGACTAGCTCAATACCTGGCAGCTCAGCTCTCCCAACTCAACTATTGACAATTTTAAGTACTTATATTACTTCAATTTTTGCATTCATATCTCTGATCCATTTGTAATTTAGCCTAATTTTTAGCATGAGGAATGGATCCAAAATTATATTTTTCTATAAAACCACCTTGTCACTCCATTATCACTTATTTAAAAGAATGCCTTTTTCCTCCGAATTTGAAATATTTGGTTGGCCAAAAAGTTCATTAGGCTTTTTCCATAAGATGTTACGGAAAAACCCGAACTAACTTTTTGGCCAACCAATATAACCTTTAAACTAATCATGTGTTGGTGCTTAAATCTTCTGCCTGGAAGTGAAACACACTGCTTCCAATCACAGTTATTGGCCAAAGCAAATCACATGATGAAGCCTGATGTCAACAGGGCAGGATGGTATAATCCTACCCCAGGGAAGAATAGCAAATATTTATAAACAATCATAAAATCTACCACACCCCCCATCTCCATCTGTGCGGGTGTGTTCCGCCAGCCCCCCCATGCAAACTAATAAACGAGGAAACCGCTGTTAGTTTTCCATGTATTCTTCTAAATGTTTTTATGCTTAATCAAAGATAAATATTAGTGGTGATAATAGGCATCCTTCTCTTGTTCCTGAATTTAGTAGACATTCTTCTGGCATATTTAGTAGAGATTTCTAAACTCTTTGGTGGAGATTTTTCCATTTAGCATAATGCTGGATTTGATATTGAAATAGATACATTTTATCATTCTTATTTTACTGAATATTCAATATTGCCAAATTCTAAATTTTCAACAGCTATGGAAATTAATATGATTTTTCTTGAGATCTACTAAAAGAATGTATAATGTTAACATATTTCCTAATTTTGAGCCCTTCTTTTATACGTTATGTAGTCTTTAACAAGTCATCATTTATTATTACTTTAACATGCTTCTGAATACATGTGAGAAATACAGAATATATTTAAATTATTTGCCACAGAGTCTGGCACAAAGTAACGTTCAAACAATATTAGGTATTATTATTTGCCTATATATTCTCCTCTATTTCCATATTTCCTTTGTTTTACATATTAATTTTAAATCATCCAGACTTTAATTTAGCTTAACATGGAAGAGATGTCCAGTTTTTCTTTCTCCCTTCCTCCCTTTATCCCTCTCTCCTTCCTCTCTGCCTTCCTTTCTTGGCTGTCTGCCAACGGTTAGTTGACTGTTTTAACAACCTGTATTGACTATTCCCTCATTTGTCCCTTGATTTGAAATGCTGTCTTCATCATTTCTGAATATACTTGGTTCCGTTTAATTGATGGGCTCGTGCCACAGCACCATATTAACTGAATACTACCTCAAGCTCTTCCTATTTTTCTCTTACTTCAATGCTGTTCCTAGTGCCACAGTCCATCTCATGGTGAAATACACCACTTCTCACCACTCTGCTTCTCTAGTGTTGTTGGTATCTGCACTGTCAGTATGAATGTTTTAAAAGTAATTAAATTTGGGGAGAATCAACATGAAGAGATAGGGAGTAGAGAGAAGGAGGGGTAGAATTCCAGTCTGTTTCCCTGCTGTGGTGTAAGGGTTGGCTACTTTGCATTCCTTACTTTCCCTGGACCCTGAAGGCAGGATCAGACAGTTGTTTAAGTCAACGGCTTACTCTACCTTTCTTAGAGCTACTATTAATCTAGTTCAGAGTGTAGAACATGTACAATTCCAGAATGCATTTCAAAAATTCAGCACAATTAGTGATGCATTTAGGGACATGATATTTGGCACATGGTCTTTAGTATCTTCAGTCCAAATTGTGGCTCTCAACTGCTCTCTTTTTATGAATTTTTATAGGTTATTTTAATAGAAAGTTGGAAGAGTTTGAATTATTGTAACTGCAATCACTATAACTTGAAAATTCCATTACTTGTTTATAATGATAGAAATCAATGAGCTATTAAGGTTTGCCTAAAGCCTCTTACCAAACTGTACTTTAAGTTTTATTGGAAATTAACTCTTTGACTCAATCTCCTCAGATATATATACCTGATGTATGTATACACAAAATATGTATTTAAACCTTTATTGAGTAAACTAAGAGCCACATCTCACTAAAGTATTTTTAAAAATACTATGCAAATGTGTGAAATGCTTTGTACATTGCTGTTCTCTAAACAAAAATTTTAATTAAGTATCCTCCTTAATGTCCTTTGCTAAATCAGCAGATCCCCAGAACAGGAATCCTTGCATTCCAAGGGACCAATGTACATGTGGGACAAGATGAGCAGCATGTCACTTGCATACCAAAGTAAACAACAGAGTGCATGGCCCTGATTCACATTTCGTGGGTTTTCTTCTCTAAATAAAATTACCTTAGAGCAAGGAACTAATTTACGCATATGTTAATATTGTGGTCTATTTCAAAAAGTTTTCCTCGGCTATTCCTTTAGTTTAGAGGTTTTCAGTATCGCTCTGTATAACAAATTCTGAGTGACATTGAAGGAGAATTGAGTGAGAAAGCAGGAATATTCAGTTACACTATATATCCTTTTTTTCCTTACTGTTTGGGTTTTGGAGCTGGGCTCAATGTAGTTATTATCCCAGTGGATTTGTGATGCTTCATAGCTCTTGATTCCTTTCATGCATCTTTTCATAAAAAGTTATGGTCTTTTAAATAGAATGCTGAATCATAAAAATCTCAAGTGATAGCATGAAGTGAAAAGATAAAATTGAAAACTGTAAAAAAAATAAAATTATAGTCTTTAAGATGGATTTTATATAACCTTGTTGATCATAACTTTTGCCTTTATCATTGTGTTTTTGATGTTTGAATTAGTTTTCCATGTCTGAATTAGTTGGGGCCTTTACTAAAGTATGTGACAAAAAATGTTTCAATGTTATGAGAATAATTTTTCTTCATTGTAGTGCAAGACTATTTTTACTTTCCCCCACTTCTGAGGTTTTCTATGTTTCAAGAAATTACCATATTCAAAGTCACAGAGAAACATTTGCACTTAGGACAGTATATGTGAATCTAACATTGGTTTAGATATTTGAAACTACATCCAGTATTTTCATATGTATGGCAGCTTTAATATACAATGGCAGATTGAAGTCAGAGATCTATTTTCAGTGGCAAAAATGGGATACTAAGACCATGGTGACAAATTGAGATTTGCCATTTTGCTGATGAAGATTCTGACATCTACAGCAGGTATTCCCTCTTAAAAATGGGCAGTTTTCCATTTTGTTTTCCCTGTAAAGGCTGACCAGTATTAGTCAGATAAATAACAGAGATAGGTACCATCAGTTTTACAGAACAGAATTCAGGCTGCTTTGGTTAAAACTGCAAGCAGTTTCTTTTTCTTTGTTCACGTATACAATTTTTTTTCCTTCATTTGCAGATTTCTTTTTCAAAGTCATACCTTCCATAATTAAATTTATAAACAAATTGGGACCGAAGATAGCATTAATATAATAAATTATGTTGAAACTACTTCATTTCTCTTTTTCTCAAACAAGACATTTTATATAACAGCAACAAGAACAACAAGAAAAACCTAAAGTTTGATTCCATAAGCTTTGTACTGGTTGTGATCTCATCGTGCAGCTGCAAATATGGAGGGAAAACTTCTTGTTATACTAAAATAAAAACACCAATTGGATAATCAACCTAAAAATATTTTTGGATTCCATTTCTACTGCCTGTTAAACATTTATTCCTAGGGGCTCTCCTGGCCACTCAAATTCACTCTAATATCTCATTTTTCATCTTACTTCATTCATTCCTCAATAACCTTCAAGCTACTTAAGGGAAAAGACTATGCCCTATTTATCTTTTTATCCATGTTGTCTAGCTCAGGGCCTAGTACATAGTAAGGGCTCAATAAGCATCACTGAATGAATAAACCTGACTCTTCTCCTGGATTGGTAAATTAAGTTTAATGTACTGTCACTCTTTCAGGCTTCAAAACTCTTTGCAATCTTTGCCTCCTAAATTCAATCAGTTCCTAAATTGTATAGATTCCAAATGAGCAATATCTTTCAAATATAACTTTTTATCCATTCCCACTGCTATTTCACTAGTTCAAGATTCCATGGCTTCTCTTATACTAAAGAATTAGTTTTATGTTTTCCCCATTTTCAATCTGTCTCTTTCTCAATCTCTTCTAAGCACTTTGGCTAGATAAATTATTCCATAAGCACAGAATTTACATATCACTTCCTTACATGGATAGTTTTAAGCCTCTTTAGTCTCTACAGAATAAAGTTTAATCCACTTTGCATTCAGAGATCTCTGTAATGTGGTCCCAATCTCTTTTTTACCAAGGGACCTAGAGATTGTCTATTATTGTTTCCATCTCTCTGCAATTGTAAATGCCTCAATGTGGTTTAGGGAACAGCAGAATGACCTTCCCCAAGCTTAAGGCTGGCTTTGATTTTTTTTTTAACATAATTTGGGTTAATCTCAACCCACCTGTAACAAGTCCTGGCATATTAGTTCTCATCTTCTGAGATAAATATATGTCATTCACTAAAAAACAAAAATAACCTGAATTTCACTATGATTGAGAATTTGCTGGTATAATATAATCACCTTTGCATTAGGTCTCTTCAGTTCTTTGGGAAAGTGCAGCTCCACTATCAGTTGAAGCTGCTTTTTCCAAGTTGTTCACATCTTGGAGGTTTACATGCCTTACATTTCTTGAACTGTCCTTCCCCTGACTTGAAACTCAATGCCTTCATCAAATCCTCTCTCTGTCACCTTCTGCAGATCTTCAAAGATGTCCAATACTTCTGCTGTAGCAACACAGTGCTTCATGGAATCCTACAGTGATTGTATCTACGAATTCACTGCACAAGGTATTTCTCTAATTTTTAATTTTTCAAATATGTTATGTTATGCTTGAGAAAGATTGTGAATATTTATGGAAACAACACTATGACAGTTTGGGTTTTTTTTCAGACATGGCAAAATAACATGGACAAATAGATGTCCATGACTAAGCCTATGACTTTTAAATATTTATCTCTTTCAGTGTTCTTTATCACTTCCAATCTTTTTCTAAAGGCTTTTTTAGATCTCACACACTTATCTACTTTCTTCAGAGACTTTTTCACTTTATTGGAAGACATTTTCACTCAACAGTGTGGGGAAGATTATATGATGATGCATCATGATTTAATCAATAGAATCATCAAAAGTGATCCTAGCTAAGAAATAGTTTAGACATAACTGCTTCATTGTATTTGCAAATTCATTATAGCAGCGTTTCCTATTCAGCTGTCAAATTCTGAATAAAATTTTCAAGTTATTATAGTAAATATTTGGATAGTGATAGTTCAGAGGGAGTTATTTCAAGCTGCAGGTTTTTTCACCATTTATTCACCATATTCTTAACTGTGTCCTCTTTGTGGATTCTCTCTTCCAACAGTTTCCTTCCCATTGTGTTTCATATGTCCAAAATCCACTTGATTTTTATGCTTATGTGCCATTTGCTACATTGCATTTGTTTCCTCCAGTTGGAAGAGAACACTTTTCTTTGAATTTTCCTGACCTACTAATCCATTCATTCATTCATTCAGCAATTATTGTCATATGTTGTATGCTAACCATGATCAATTTCAGGCTACCAATATAATGTCACTGAATGCAGAATGTGAAGACATAAACACAATTCCACTCCAGGAATACCATGGAAGCTACCAAATACTGCAAATTAGGGCTGTCTATTTCCCCAGAAAGACAGTTTACAGAAATAAGATTACATATATATATACACATATATATGTATATATATATATATACATATATATATATATATGAGATTTGTGAATAAGAACGCTCTGAGATGGTAGCCTGTCTACTGTGTTGGGAAAACAGTGAGGATGACATTACAGCTGGAACAGAGAGAGAGCCAACAGAGTGTTGAAGATAAGGTTAGAAATGTAAAAAGGTGTTTCACCTAAGGCCTTGTATGTCATAGGAAAAATTTTTCTTTTTACTGAGTGACTAGGGGAAACCATTGCATGATTTTGAGCAGAGGAGTGACCTGTTTTGGCTACTATGCGAAAAATAGATTGACACAGAGCAAGAGCAGAAGCAAGGGGACCAATAAGTAGGGCATTGACTCAGGCAAGATATCACAGTGGCTTGGAACAAGCTGGCAGGAATGCAGATATAAGAACTGGTCTGTTTTTACAATATTTTTTGAAGGTAGAATTGGCAGAATTTGTCAATGGATTGTTTGTGGGGTGGAGAAAAGAGTATTAAAGGTAGATCGAAGAGTTTTGGGATGAGCAACTGGAGGAATAAGATGTGAAAGATTTTAAGCACAACATATGCTGTGGAGAGGGTGGGGATATCAGGAGTGTTAGGTGCTCATTTTATACATGCTAAGTTATCCAAAAACCTGATTGGACTGAGTTCAGGGGAGAATTGGAGAAGAAAAAATTGTAACAGCAAGTATAGCTAACTATAGTGTGGAAGCCTGCATGATCTGGGAATTGTATAGTTTGCTTATGAGCAGCGGTGAGGAACTCCTTCATTTAATGGTCATAAATTCAAGCGAAGCCAGTGAGATTCTGCATTTTTCATCAGTTCTGTCCAGTTGTGTGGATGCAGGCAGAGAGCAAGGGGATATAGTAACGCCGGGAGAAAATTTCCTGTGTAAATACTGCAGAATTTAAAGTTTATTCTTAGATCAATAACTATGTCTACAAGGGCTTTTCAAGAGGAGGTATGGCTCATTTAGGGATGGATATGATATGTAGAGTCTTCCTTAAATAGAGGTCAATGTGCATGTTTTGATCCTGAGGAAAAATAATTGTGTTGCTCATAGAAGCTTTTTACAAGTAATATCCATTTTATCCCTGAGGTGTTCTAAGCAGCCTCTTTCTCCTTCTGCTTTTGGACTTACACAGGAATTGTTTTCTTTTTGTCTGGTTTTATCTCAGTTCATTACTTTTAGTTTACATTTCATAAAACCAGAGAATGGTTTAATACGGTGTAATGCATTCTAATGGTGCTATGATTCAGTGGCAGTATTTTGTTCTTATAGCTCCATGTTACATCCCATTGATATGGACTTAACCTAAAATAATGGTTGCACAAGCAGAGGACTGTGACTTCAAATCTCATTCACTACCACCACTCAATGAAAAAATTCCTATATTAGTTAGATAAATAATATGTATTAAAATACAAAATAGGCATTTATTTTGATCACAAATGGCTGAGAATATTCCAATTTTAGCTTATCAAGGCCTTATAGTATTTTATTATTTAAAATTCATAGTACCACTTCAAATTAGCACAATTAACATGCACACTTAAACTAGGCAATAGTTCCAGACAACTATCCACAAACAATTATTTAAGACAAACCAATTATCTAATGATTCTTTCTTTTTCTCATATGGGTCTATCAAAGACAGCATGCTCTCAGAAATCAATTTACAACTATTTTATTTTTCATGTAGAACAATTCACAATTTAACAAGTGATGGGTTTTCCCTTTTGTAGTGGTTATTTACTACCATTACTCAGAAGGACATTTAATTACTCCTGAGGCTTGAGTCATTAAAAAAATTTCAGAGGTTGAAAATGCTCTGCTTTTATTTATCTATATATTTAAACAACATTTATTTAGAACCTACTATGTTCAGATATTGACTTCCCACATTAAAATTGGACTGCTCTCAAAATACATTAAAATTTGGTAGGAGAGAAATACACTCACAAAAGCAATTCAAGGGAGTAAACCAGGCAGTAAGGGGAGTGTGGATGAGGTTCAGAGTTGGAATGCTGGTGTTGAGTGAGGGCAGTTGTTTTTCTAAAAATCTGTCACATCAGCGTGCTTATGTTAGAAGTTATTCCAGGCTCGCTAGATATGTTCGATATATCTTCTATCAGTGTTATATATTTAATATCAATTATTAATTACACCATTTTGGACCCCATATAATTTAATTTCAACAAAATCTAAACAGAAGAAATAGCCCTAGGAGTAAAACAGTAATAAAGTTTAAGGTGATTCATCTGAATCTACATGTCTTTTAGCTGATAAATATAAATTGGAGTATTTGGCCTTTCCCTGTTACCTGATGTAAAATGATTATCCTTAAATTCAAATCTGATCCTGTCACTTTCATCTCAAAATTCTTCACCAACTTTCCAAGAAAAGTTCCAAGCTTGTTAGGCTATCCTGCCCAAACTTACCCCATCATCATTGTTGCTACTACTACTACTACTACTATTACTACTACTACTACTACTACCACTACTGCGATATACACACAAACATACATGCACATATACTCTATCAGGATAAATCCTCATTTTTATTAATTGGGCACCTTCTCTTAGAAATCTTTCCTGACCTCTCGGTTTGGGTTGGACTTCACACTCCAAATGTGTTCCCATTGTACCCTGTTCACAACTTTTTCATTATATTGGAAATGCCCTTTTATGCATCTCTTTTCCTTACTAGATTTCTTTTTAGTGATTTTTGTAATGAGTGTGAATGATTAATTTTATAAGTCAACTTGTTTGGGCCAAAATGCCCAGATATTTGGCCAAAGTGATTCTGGATGTTTCTGTGAAGATGTTTTTTGGATGAGATTAACATTTAAATTGGTGGACCTAGAGTTAAGCTGATTATTCTCCATAGTGTGGGTGGGCCTTATTCAATCAGTTGAAGGCCTTAGTAGAACCAAGACTGACCTCTCATGAGCAAGAAGGAATTCTGCTAGTATACTGCCTTTGGACTCAAACTGCAACTTTTCCCTGGGTCTCCAGCCTGCCAACGTACCTCACAAATTTTGGATTTACCAAGCCTCTACAATCATGTGAACAAGTTCCTGAATCTCTCTCTCTTTCTCTCTGTACACACATACACACGCACGCACACACTCACACACACACACACACACACACACACACACACACACACAGGTTCTGTATTTCTGTAGAACCCTAAGTAATATAATCGGGTAGTATGCCTTGTTCATTTTTGCATCCTCACTGTTTTTCACAGCACTTGGAACAAAATGGGTATTTAACACTGATTGAGTAAAAGAATGGATATACTGTCTAACACATTTCAGACACTATGTAATAATTAATTTAAAAATAAATCAGACTCAGATATTCCTTCAAGAAGCCTATTATCTATTGTGAGAGATAAAACTTGTACATAAATGTTAGTAATACAAGGTAGAAAGTGTCACAAGGAGAGACTAATAATTGACCATTGACAGTGATCAAAAGAGTGTCAGTATGCTTGGAGGAATACTGTCTCTCTAGGAGCTTAGGGCACTTTTACAGCACAAGTCAAGAGAGAGCTGTTGTGCTTAGAGTAGAATCACTCCTTTGAATACATCCATTTCTGGATGTCTAGAGAATGCCTGCATAGCAAGGGTAAGGCTCTTCTGCATCCATGATTTCTCCATCAGCAGGAGTCAAATGTGAGTCTCAGAATTCTGTATACCCTAGAACACCTCAACCCTTCCCTCACCTCAACACTCACAGCCTTGCCAAAACTATCTTCCTTGAGACCATTGGAATTTTCTCCTAATGCCCCATGTCCTTTTTCATTTTACATCCCACAAAAAGCTAGGACTCTTACTATCCCTTATTCCTTAGGCTCTAATCTCCATTTAGCTCTGTATTTTGCTTTTTCTGACTCCATATACTATTCCTCCCATTTCCTGAAAATCTTCCATTGATTCCTCTGTAACTCTTGAAAGCCAACCTCAAAATCCTCCATTTTAAACATTTTTTTTCTGAATGTCCCTTCATCTTCTTGATGTAAGAAAAATTCTGGACTTTCCAGTGTTTCTTTTCCCTGAGCCATTTGTTT